AAATTTTTGAAGTGGTTTATCTTTGGCTATGTGTATTTTCACCGAAAAAAAAAAAGGTTGAGAAGTTAGAGGGTTGATATGTTGTGGGGTTGTTAACCAATGTCATAAAACAACATGTGTGGTTCTGTTTCATGAGAAACTATTTGTTCTGTAAGCCTTCACCTGAAGTACAATAAAAAAAAAAAAAGTTTTCAGTAATGATCATAAAATGAAATGAATAAAGGCCAGAAAAGAAATGCAAAAAAAAAAAAAAAGTTTCTATTTTGCAGCAATGAATGTGTTTTTAAATTCATCTTCCAAGAAAGCAAGAAAGGGCATTTATCGGAATGTTACATTTGTATTTTATCAGAATATTTACATGTCTCCGTGTCAGGAAATTGAACATTCTTTTTGTAGAAAATGTGGCATATAGTAAAAATGTTAGTACCCTGCCTCCCTAAAAATTTTATAATCCATTTCATTTCATTGTGCTAAAGTGGCATATGCCACTTTTGAGTTCAATCGCTAATATTATAGTCGCGTTTAAAAAGAAATTACATTATGGATAGCTAAGACACACACAAGCATATATATAAAATTTATATATACAACTCACATATCCCGTTTGAATGCATGAGTAAGCAGAGGAGGGGGCACCACAGATTATCAGTGTTTAGGGCCCTCACGTGCCTTAATCCGGCCCTGTCCCCAACCTGTTGCCATGTGTGAACTTCCAGTCTTTTTTCTTCTCTCAGCCCATCCATCCTTCAGGAGTCAGAGCCTTCTCTCTTCAGAACCTGAGCAGTGATGACGTTTGCTGAGGACGAGACCTATCAGTATATCCGCCACAATCCCAGCCGTTTTTTCCATGTTGATGTTTTCGAGATTCTGCCTTACTTGTCCTGCCTCACACCAAGTGACCAGGTAGGCCAGGGAGATGAAAGCACACATAGGTTGGGGGCAGGGCTGTGGAATTCAGAGCTCAGCCCCATCCCCAAGCCAGGGCCAACTCCTTCCTTCGCCATTGTTGTCTCTGCTGCTTCTTGTCCTTGATGCTGCCCGATTGCTCATTCGTCACAAAATTAGTTTTCCTTAACTCTTAGACTGAGTGTGGCTCAGGATGGCTTCACTGAGCTCCCTCTTGTGTTGTGTTTGTGTAGCGCTCAACAACATGGCGGCTGGCTTTCCGCCATGTCCTGGCTCTGGTCCCCTCTCCCACTTTTACCTGAACCTTCTCTTTCTTTCATCTCTTTTGTCCTTGTCCTGCTCAGTTTTGATTCTTTTCTCCTTGTCCTGAGACTGTGTTCTGGTGGGAAGCCCTGAGGCTCAGCTGTTTTTTTTTTTTTTGAAATAATTTTAGATTTACAGAACAGTTGCAAGACTAGTGCAAAGAACTTTTTAAGCCTTGAATCACTTGAGAGTATGTGGCTGACAATATGCCCTATCACCCTGTGCTTCTTAGTGGGTACCTGTTGGCTATTTTGGGATATCCTGTTACCAGGTTTCTCAGAAGCCCCGTTGCCTGCTCCCTTGCATACAGATGCCATAAGGCCAGCACACAGATGCTGTAAGGCCCTTAGTATACAGGTATGCTGAGGGGGTTTGGCCCCTCCCTCTTATGTGCTCCTGGGCATACCTTGTCACCTAGTCTTGTAGTTAATATTTTCTGTGGACTTTTGTTTCTGCTATCTGGTTGCTCTGTTTTGATGTGGGAGTTTGCATGGATTTTAAAACTTGGCAGTGGCTGTCTTCCCAAAACCTCCCCAATCTTCTCATTCCCTTGTTGCTTATTGTCTGCCTTCTCTTTTCTGCACCCTTTCATCTTATTTTTTCGACACGCCTTTTCCTCCTCTGTGAATCCCAAACTTCCTTTTTGCCTTCAAAAAAAGAAAAAAACCCCAAACCTACTGCCGTGGAGTCAGTTCCAACTCATAGCAACCCCATAGGTTCTCCAAGGCTGTAAATCTCTATGGAAGTAGATTGCCACATCCTTTTCCCACAGAGCCGCCGGTGGTTTTAAACCACCAACCTTTCAGTTAGCAGTGAATCGCTTGGGAGATGTATAAACTCAAGGCTTTTGCATCTGATTAACTGAGTTTGCATCCCTACCCCACTGCTGTAGGGTTTTGCTGCCTTGCTTCTGCTAAGCCTCAGTTTCCTCATCAGTAAAGTAGGCATAAGGAGTCCTGGTGGCACAAATGGTTAAGCACTTGGCTGCTAACCAAAAGGTTGGCTATTCGAACCCACCCAGCAGCTCTGGAGAAGATCTGCTTCTGTAAAGATCACAGCCAAGAAACCTCTATGGGGCAGTTCTACTCTGTCACACGGGGTCAACTGTAAGTTGAAAATGACTCGACAGTACCTAACAACAATAAAGAACAAAGTAGGGATAATAATAGCATTTAGCGAGATAATTTGTGCCAAACCCTTAACAGAAAGCCTGGGATATAGTCAGAGCCTATTTCCTGTTGCTTTGTTATTGTTGTTGTTGCTTTTTTTTTTTTCTGCCTCACCCCATGCTTGGGCTTGAACCCTAGCCTTGTCCTGGGCTCTGACCCAGTTTCAGGCGCCACCCGTCTGGTAGTTTTCTCCATGCCCTGCTGCCCCTTCTGAGTGGGGAAGGACCCAGAGCCACCTGAATGGAGCAGGGCAGCGGGGCTGTGTCTTCCAGGATCGGCTGCGGGCCATGTACACAAGCAGAGGAAACCGGGACACTCTCTGGTACCTCTTCGACTGCCTGAAGCGGCGAAGCGGCTGGGTGGATTCCCTCATTAAGGCACTGAGGGCCTGTGAGCTGGCTAGTCTCGCTGAAGAAGTGGCCCGTGTCTACAGCAGCAACCTGCCCAGTGAGCTTCCTGCCCTGGACCTCCTCCTGGAACCCCTGCCCTGCCTCCCCTGGCCTCCCTTTTCTCTCCCCTCCCCCCTGTGCCTACCGCCTTTCTCTCTCCCCCTACCTCCCATCACTTCTGGGCAATAGACAAACCGAGGTGTGGATCCCGAGTGAGCTATCACTAGCTGTGTCCCTTGGCCAAAGCCCTTAATTTCCCTGAGCCTCAGTCTCCTCATCTGTAAGTGCCTGCCTTGTAGGCTGCTGTATATACCATGAGACAGTGGCTTGTTGAGTGCTCAGCTGGGGCTTGGCCCCTACGGTGTGCTCTTCATATGTGGCCTCCACCCGTTCTCATTGCCTCTGTCTCTTCTTGCCTGGTTCACTCTCCCTCTCTACTCATCTCATTTCTTTCCCTCCCTCACTGTCTTCTCTTTCTCCCTCATGGGTTCCTTCTTTCCTCTCCTCCCTCTTCTTCCCCTCCCCTGGTTTCCCTAGAGCCTTCTAGCCCTACCCTCCAGGGGTGCCCAGTTTCCCCTTCACTCCCTCCCAATGCCCACTTCCTGTCCAAGTGCCCAGAGGGGACATGACGAGGTGGGGTCTGAGGGGTGAGACTGGAAGAAAAGACGCTATGCCTCAGGAGCGTTCTGAGCGAATCGAGCCAGCCAGAGGCAACCCCTCCCAGGCCACCCCTGTGAGACCCTGGTTAGATTCACAGCCTTGAAACATCTCCATCTTCCTTTGCCTGTCTGCCGGCTTTCCCTCCTTCCTTTCTTCCCGCCTTCCTTTCTCCTGCCTTCCTCCCTCCCCCTTCCTTTCTCCCTTGCCCTCTCTCTCTCCCTTGCCCTCTCTCTCTCCCTTGCCCTCTCTCTCTCCCTTGCCCTCTCTCTCCGTTTCCCTCTCTCTCTCCTTTCCCCTCTCTCTCT